GGGCCAGCCTTGGTGAGGCAGGCCTCAGCTCTTCTTAGCATTTAGGCTTTCTTGCTTTTTAAGTACTCCCTCCTCTGTGGGACAATGGAGGCAATCCACTGGCTGGTGTACCTCTTTGCCTCTTCCCACGTGTAACGGGGCACGTAGCCAAAATCCCTTTGTGCCTTTCTGTAGGAGAAAGTGAAGGGGGTGTTCAGCAGAGTGACCAGGTGGCGGTTGGTTGAGGGGATGTACCTGACAAAGGGCCTGAGCACGAAGCTCACCATCTCCAGCAGCAGTGAGAAGTAATACAGCATTGTCAGAGGCATGGGGAGCCAGGGCTCAATTCCAAAGCCCAGCTCCTTGGTCAGCTCGTAATTTAGGTCTGCGTAGCTCATGTGAGGAGTGTCATCTGAGATGTAGTAGAACTGCCCCCTGATGTGTCTGGCTTTCTGTGGGACCTGCAAAGCTTTGGCCACCTGCACGTGTGCCCAGGCAATGTTCCCCACGTACACAGGGTTTACTAAAGCCTCCTTCCTGGAGAAACGCAGGTAGACGTTTTTATTCAGTAGACACTTATCCAAATGACCTTGAAGAAATGGACATCCTTCTCCAAAAATGTACATGGATCTCAGGGCACAGGTCACGAGCACGCCTCCATCCTTCAACATCTGGCCGTCTGCCTTCAGCACAGATTCCTCGGCCAGCCTCTTGCTCTGAGCATAAGGAAATTGGGATGTACTCTCATAAGGTGTATCTTCATCACCGTTGAAAATTGGGTCACCCTTGCAGTTTGGGCCTGCCACCTCTATGGTGCTGGTGTAGATGAAGTGCTGAACATTACCACGAGCACATGCCTCCAGCAGCATCTGAGTACCTTCAAAAGAGAAACATGGAAGTTAGGAGGCATGTAGCTGAGTCAACTGAAAAAGGCTCCAGCCTGGAGCTTCCCGGGTCAAGAAAGGTGGACCTCTTAGGTCAAGAACAGCACCTCTGGCCCGAGCTCCGCCACATCTCCCCTCTCTGCAGCAGTAGGAATCCTGTCCTGAGCTGGACACGTTCAGTGAAACTAGGCCTGCCCTGAACCTGTTCTTAAGTGGTGTGTCAGCGTAGCTGCAAAAGTTTTACAGGAATGAACATTTCATTTTAATT